GCGGTGTTGGTTCACCCGGATCGCAGCGACTCCCGGGTGCAGCGAGAGTGCCTGGGCTATGGTCAGTCTGGGGCAGTTCCGGAACGAGCCTCCAGCAGAAGCAGGCCGGTAGAGCACTGTCCCCTTCACCGCAGGGTCTACAGGAAGGGCTGCTGATGTCAGGTTCCTGGTACGACGAAGGGCAGCCTTAGAGCGAACTGTCTGGAATCCCTCATGGTCAACTGTCTCAGTGGTAGGGGCAGCTGCACGTCTGAGGGCAGTAAGGGGCGTGGGGGATGGCCCCGTGGTTGTGGTCTGCTTGCACTGGCTCCCAGAAGAGGGTGGGGAAACCGCTGCACTCTGCAAGGCTGGTACAGTCCTCCTCCTACGCCGATTCCTGTTCCTCTTCCTCCGAGGTTTCCCAGTGGTGTTGGCACTTGTGGCATCCTTCAGGAAAGCCGCGGCAGGGTGAGGGGACACGGTCTCGTGGTGAAGTGCTTCGTCCATTTCTTCAGGAGCATCAATGGCAGGTACGCCTGGAGGGCCCGTGGCCACAGTAGAGGGGTCCAATTGGATCACCGAGGCCACCCCAGTCGTAGTGCTGCTTGCAGAACTGTCGATAGAATCCTCGGTGTGTTGGGAGTCATAGGACAGCCGAGAATCCGAGCTGTCGGCACTGCTGTTACTCTCTCCTTGAGGATTGCCTTGGGCCAGCTTGCGCCGTGTGTCCGCTTCATCGTCGCTGCTATCCTGAGGGCGGGGACGCTTCCGTGACGCGGACATGTCCATCTCCTCTTCAGCAGCAGGGGCACTGGTACACATGATGTTTCCGCGCGAGGCCTGCGACAAACGTCGAACAGCGTCTGCGGCAGCAGTCTTCCATGCCAAGACCATGTTGTCTCTGGACTCCTGTAGAGTCCAAGATTGCAGGCTTTCCAGCTGGACGAATGGAATGCCACCAAAACTTGCGCCACGTTTGTGCCTGGGGTTTCGCACAGGTCGGGCCGGCAGTGCTCCTGGCGGCGGCATCATAGCTTGCGCTAGTGCCTTCGCATCCTCGGAAGGTCGGTACCTATCCTGGTCGTCCATGATCGTGCAAGGGAGCCGACTGAGGTATGTCGGTTGTGCACGCACTCACCCGCAAACACTCACACACTTTCACTTACACCACTAGTTGGCAGAGTTCTGGGAGGAAACACTTCTCGGCAGAGCCGGTGGTTATTGTGAGGGGAAAAGCACTGGTTAGTCACTGAAATCACTACACGTAATGTAGTGCACTAAAAAAAAAACGAGCACGCTACTATACACACTGCCCAGAGGGAAAAAACACGCACTTGAGTGGAAGGCAAGAACGCAAACAAGCACACACACAAGGGCTAAAAACGAGTCAAGTAAACGCTGGCACAAGGCACACTTGCTAGGAGTAGTCAAACACCAACGGTACTCACACTAAAAGTAGCCGAGAGGCACAAGAACACACTCCTGATAAGTAAAAAGCGCCCTGTAAAACACGAAGAAGGCTAGGCTGAAAGAAAACAGCGCACGGGGTCCTGAAAAGAAAGCGCACACGCCCACCTGAAGAAAAAGATAACGCTAGGCACAAAGCACACTCGCGATACCTGATCAAAAACCCGCCTTACTTGTGCTATCAGTAGCTCGAGAACACGCGCTGAAAGTAAACAAGCCTTAGCAGTGCGCGCGCTACGTCACTAGAAACACAAGAACAGTGCACGCGGGTTAAAAGTAACTAGCAGCTAGTGACTGTTAAAGAGCCTGAAAAGAAAAGTCAAGCTCGTTCCTAAAGATTGCTAGCGTTCCTAAAAACAGACACTCGCGTTTCTGCAAAAAAAAAACGAAGTCTGAAAAGAAAGTAAGACCGCACGTGTTCGAGACCGCTGTCGTCACACGCGGTGCGATGAGCCGCGCTAGTCGCTACACTCACTAGTGGAGCACAAGAAACCGCAACAGTAATAAAGAATCACTCACCAACCAGTCGATGCAGGCTAGAAGGCAGTGGCCGAAATTCTATGTCGGTTATCTAGAGAAAAGGCACAGGGCACACGCGTTGAACCACGGGCACGGCGGTGCTTGCGGCGCGCGCGAGTACGGACAGCGTACTCGCACGAAGCACCGGTGAAGCGACCGCACTCCTCGGTGGACTACGCACGCCCGGCGCGAAGCACGAGTCACGAAACCAACAGCTGAGGAGCGCGCGTAAACACGACCTTCCCCTTCGGCTGCCGAAACGGCTCCCCGCCGACTGAGCTCTTGTCTCTCTCTCCTTTCACTCAAGCAGTGACGTCACCAACAGCGCCCGCCAATGAGGCCCACTCTCGCTGTCGGAACAGGAGCTGGTTGGCCAAACGAGTTCTGGTGAGGGCAACCACTGGAAAGGCTGGCGCTGCGGTCGCGCTGACGCAGCAAACGACCACACGCGTTACGTTCATGCAGTCGTCAGTACAGCACGCTTCCTTTCAACCCCAAATCAGATATTTTTCTAGCTAACTGGTTTTTTTTACCGCACGATACCACAGTGCCGGACACAATTAAGAGAGTCTATAATAAGTCAGCCTTTCCAAAACGCCACGGCAGCGATACACTTGCCTCACAAAATTGAAATTGGCGAAACAAATCAGCCATCATGCTCGGGTGTTAAAATGAGTGGGCAGCCACTTTTTTTTTGCGCATCCGTGCATTCGCTAAGAATCTGTGTCTCTTGTTAGATTTCATATATCCCGTATGTATTGAAGAATTGCAAAATATTACCGTGCACCCTTACCTTGATAAATACGTAGCACAACTAGCTGCAATATGACGTTTTTTTATTTTGAAACTACTTTCACTAGTTAAACGCCGGAAGGCCTCAAAGTGCTGTCACTAATTCTTGTTCAAACTTGAGTGCGACGACGTCTATTCCTCTTTATAGTTACGTCCCTCAGTGCATCGACCTGCATTCCATCCAATGCGTTGCTGATGCAGCATTTGCGAAAAGACTTGCGCAAAATATCTTCCGTGAAAGATTTTCTTGCTGACGACACTCAACCAAAAACAGTCGCGGGGCGGTGGACGTCGTATAAGCGCCCAGCATCCACTTATTGTAGAGTTCGCGCACGCAATCTTGCAAGGTATTTTTGGGCACTACGCACATAGGCTGGAGAATTCCGCGTAGACGTGGCGATTGTATCTGATACATTAGCGCTGTGCTTAGGGGAAAAAAACGAGAACCAGCGGCGAACATCTTACCACACCATTTCTTCGCATGCACGAAACAAAGATTCCAGTGTTTAAAATGCCTAGTGAATCTGACGTTAAGGCATCTCAAAAAGGGCATGTAGTCTCTGCGGGAGCAGAGCATAGTGAAACCCCTTTGGTTTTCAAACTCATGCACCATGCAGACGGCGCAACGACGTTACAAACGTTTAACATTGCGAATGTACTTGGCGGCGGTATATAGTGTGCAGGATCTGCCCGTTACCAGCTCCTGCATTCCCATTGGCAATTTAGCTTTGCTTCGAAGGTTCCTGGATTATCCGTACGCAGTTGCTGCCGGCACTTGGCCTACCGGGCTTGTTTTTGTGCCCGGACTGCAGCATCAGCTCGCCGAATGCGAGCTGTCTCACCTTCTCACTTCCGGCATTCTTCTCGAGTTGTCCGTGGCACACCCATGTGGAAGGTTACAGGAGAAGCTCTCCAACACGCTCACCTACTATAACTGTCTATCAAACAGTTAGTGTACCCCGGGCGTACCGTGATAGTGTGAAGTGTGCATGCGCAGATACGTATATGTTACCCGTACCACTTACTGTACGTGCACTATTTAACGACAAACATGGTGACGCTCTGGGATGCCCGCTTTGAAGTGACGTGGTTGTTGAAAGATTCACTTTGTTTGCAGCAAACGACTGCTTAAAGTGCCTTCGCTTGCCTTCAGTTAGCTTCTACGATAGAGCATACAATTAAGTTGGCACAGTCTCTGAGATTGCTGCCCATTTCTAACGTGTTTAGGCCTAACTACAACATCAATGTAAACAAATCGGAAACCTGGAGTTTTTAGCATTTGGTGCGTTGTTCCTATTTATTCACTTTCATTATTAATAAAATCAACGTGTAACAATACTTCGCGCGGTAACACAGGCTGATAATCTCGTTGCAATATCCGTCTCACTTTTCTTATTCATAAACACTTTGATAGGTGGCGCCACCATCCCGTCCGGGGAACGTAAATGCTATACCGCTAAACTATAGGGCACTGTCCGCGATTAATGTTTCCTGCACGGTAACGTCATTCCCTTAACCTCTGCTATCGCGCAGAAGTTAGGAAAATAACCCAAAGCGCTGCCGACGGCGTGCATACGACGCTGCGAGTGATTAACTGATCAAAGAGCCAGTGGAGACCGCTCGTGACACCACCACTATACGAATATTTCAAGTTATACACAGCTTTCACTGTAAAACGGAGCACCAACGTAAGCTTACTGGCGTCTCGGGGAAGGTGGCGAGACCACTCGACGATAAGTATAGTAGAGTCGAATGCGCTCATCCCCCCCCTTCCAGATGAACAAAGACGGAGGGCGCCTCTATAGTTCTGAATCTGTTTTTTTTTCTTTTTTTTTTGTGGTCGAGACTTCATCTCAATAGTTCAGGTCCTGACCTCTTTTTTTTACTTTTTGGTGTTAAGTGTATATCTGATGTCATAAATGATGCTCTTTATGCCTCCATCTAGCAGTTCGCAAGTCTGTGTTCTTTGTAGTGTTTCTGGAGGATAATGTCGTACCTATATAATGTCGTCTGTATATCTTTATTCTCGATGTACAATATGCCTAATCGTTTATTTAAAACTTTTCGCGCCAAAAGAAATACATGTTATTTACAAACACAGATCAAAAGACGCATCATGCAAAGACATGCAACAAAAGAACACTAAACTTCGTAAAGAAAAGAAAGGTCTGGATCTTAAGTGGCTTTTCAAATACCTCCCAGTCGACGTCCAACCAAATGGCTAAGGGCGCCCCGCGTACTGGCTAGACGTCACCGTCGTCTTCTTCCGAGGAGTCGTCCTGAAAGCCGCTTGGTCCTGGTCTGGGCTCTAGGGTATTCAAATCGTCCGTGTCACCTCGCCACTCGCCGGGGAAGTCGTCCAGTCTGCGACGCTTGCACGGCGGTCCGGCGTCGTCATCTGAAACAAACGGTAAAACCCTACAGACGGTATCAGATCCAGTAGACGCCTCTGCATTACCTACCTCGACTCCAGCGCCAGAAACAGCAGGTGCCGAATCCGCACCATCGTCAGTCGACGCGCCATCGCTCCAAGAATCTTCACTAGACGAGTCATCGCTCGATGAATCGTCGGTTGAGGAATTGTCACACGGGACCCATATCTTCAAACTCTCCACGAGCAAGACGTAGCGAAGCAGCTCGACGTGTGCTGCATCTTCCATTGAGCCTGCGAAAATAAGATCGTCAATAGTCGGGGCAACGGTTGACGGGCATGACGATAAAGCGGTGTACTTACGGGAAGCAATACTTTTTTTTTCTCCCAACGTAGCGCACGTGCGTTCAATGCCGAAGCCAGCAGCCGACTGAGCTCTTGTCTCTCTCTCCTTCACTCAAGCAGTCACGTGTCCAACAGCGCCCGCCAATGAGGCCCACTCTCGCTGTCGGAACAGGAGCTGGTTGGCCAAACGAGTTCTGGTGAGGGCAACCACTGCTTAAAGTGCCTTCGCTTGCCTTCAGTTAGCTTCTACGATAGAGCATACAATTAAGTTGGCACAGTCTCTGAGATTGCTGCCCATTTCTAACGTGTTTAGGCCTAACTACAACATCAATGTAAACAAATCGGAAACCTGGAGTTTTTAGCATTTGGTGCGTTGTTCCTATTTATTTACTTTCATTATTAATAAAATCAACGTGTAACAATACTTCGCGCGGTAACACAGGCTGATAATCTCGTTGCAATATCCGTCTCACTTTTCTTATTCATAAACACTTTGATAGGTGGCGCCACCATCCCGTCCGGGGAACGTAAATGCTATACCGCTAAACTATAGGGCACTGTCCGCGATTAATGTTTCCTGCACGGTAACGTCATTCCCTTAACCTCTGCTATCGCGCAGAAGTTAGGAAAATAACCCAAAGCGCTGCCGACGGCGTGCATACGACGCTGCGAGTGATTAACTGATCAAAGAGCCAGTGGAGACCGCTCGTGACACCACCACTATACGAATATTTCAAGTTATACACAGATTTCACTGTAAAACGGAGCACCAACGTAAGCTTACTGGCGTCTCGGGGAAGGTGGCGAGACCACTCGACGATAAGTATAGTAGAGTCGAATGCGCTCATCCCCCCCCTTCCAGATGAACAAAGACGGAGGGCGCCTCTATAGTTCTGAATCTGTTTTTTTTTTTCTTTTTTTTTTGTGGTCGAGACTTCATCTCAATAGTTCAGGTCCTGACCTCTTTTTTTTACTTTTTGGTGTTAAGTGTATATCTGATGTCATAAATGATGCTCTTTATGCCTCCATCTAGCAGTTCGCAAGTCTGTGTTCTTTGTAGTGTTTCTGGAGGATAATGTCGTACCTATATAATGTCGTCTGTATATCTTTATTCTCGATGTACAATATGCCTAATCGTTTATTTAAAACTTTTCGCGCCAAAAGAAATACATGTTATTTACAAACACAGATCAAAAGACGCATCATGCAAATACATGCAACAAAAGAACACTAAACTTCGTAAAGAAAAGAAAGGTCTGGATCTTAAGTGGCTTTTCAAATACCTCCCAGTCAACGTCCAACCAAATGGCTAAGGGCGCCCCGCGTACTGGCTAGACGTCACCGTCGTCCTCTTCCGAGGAGTCGTCCTGAAAGCCGCTTGGTCCTGGTCTGGGCTCTAGGGTATTCAAATCGTCCGTGTCACCTCGCCACTCGCCGGGGAAGTCGTCCAGTCTGCGACGCTTGCACGGCGGTCCGGCGTCGTCATCTGAAACAGACGGTAAAACCCTACAGACGGTATCAGATCCAGTAGACGCCTCTGCATTACCTACCTCGACTCCAGCGCCAGAAACAGCAGGTGCCGAATCCGCACCATCGTCAGTCGACGCGCCATCGCTCCAAGAATCTTCACTGGACGAGTCATCGCTCGATGAATCGTCGGTTGAGGAATTGTCACACGGGACCCATATCTTCAAACTCTCCACGAGCAAGACGTAGCGAAGCAGGCTCGACGTGTGCTGCATCTTCCATTGAGCCTGCGAAATAAGATCGTCAATAGTCGGGGCAACGTTGACGGGCATGACGATAAAGCGGTGTACTTACGGGAAACAATACTTTTTTTTTCTCCCAACGTAGCGCACGTGCGTTCAATGCCGAAGCCAGCAGCCGACTGAGCTCTTGTCTCTCTCTCCTTTCACTCAAGCAGTGACGTCACCAACAGCGCCCGCCAATGAGGCCCACTCTCGCTGTCGGAACAGGAGCTGGTTGGCCAAACGAGTTCTGGTGAGGGCAACCACTGGAAAGGCTGGCGCTGCGGTCGCGCTGACGCAGCAAACGACCACACGCGTTACGTTCATGCAGTCGTCAGTACAGCACGCTTCCTTTCAACCCCAAATCAGATATTTTTCTAGCTAACTTGGTTTTTTTACCGCACGATACCACAGTGCCGGACACAATTAAGAGAGTCTATAATAAGTCAGCCTTTCCAAAACGCCACGGCAGCGATACACTTGCCTCACAAAATTGAAATTGGCGAAACAAATCAGCCATCATGCTCGGGTGTTAAAATGAGTGGGCAGCCACTTTTTTTTTTGCGCATCCGTGCATTCGCTAAGAATCTGTGTCTCTTGTTAGATTTCATATATCCCGTATGTATTGAAGAATCGCAAAATATTACCGTGCACCCTTACCTTGATAAATACGTAGCACAACTAGCTGCAATATGACGTTTCTTTTTATTTTGAAACTACTTTCACCTAGTTAAACGCCGGAAGGCCTCAAAGTGCTGTCACTAAGTCTTGTTCAAACTTGAGAGCGACGACGTCTATTCATCTTTATAGTTACGCCCCTCAGTGCATCGACCTGCATTCCATCCAATGCGTTGCTTATGCAGCATTTGCGAAAAGACTTGCGCAACATATCTTCCGTGAAAGATTTCCTTGCTGACGACACTCAACCAAAACTGTCGCGGGGCGGTGGACGTCGTATAGGCGCCCAGCATCCACTTATTGTAGAATTTGCAAACGCCATTTCGCAAGGTGTTTTTGGGCACTACGTACAAAGGCTGGAGAATTCCGCGTAGACGTAGCGATTGTATCTGATACCTTAGCGCTGTGATTAGGGAAAAAAAACGAGAACCAGTGGCGAACATCTTACCACACCATTTCTTCGCATGTACGAAACAAGGAATCCAGTGTTTAAAATGCCGAGTAAATCTGACGTTAAAGCATCTCGAAAAGGGCATGTAGTCTCTGCGGGAGCAGAGCATGGTGAAACCCCTTTGGTTTTCACACTCATGCACCACGCAGACGGCGCAACGCGTTACAAACCGTTTAACAATGCGAATGTACTTGGCGGCGTATATAGTGTGCAGGATCTGCCCGTCACCAGCGCCTGCATTCCCGTTGGCAATTTTAGCTTTACTTCGAAGGTTCCTGTATTATCCGTACGCAGTTGCTGCCGGCACTTGGCCTACCGGGCTTGTTTTTGTGCCCGGACTGCAGCATCAGCCCGCCGAATGCGAGC